AAAATCTCTTCAGCCTGCTCTGCATTGGAGATCAAACGAGTAAGCGTTAGCTCTGTGCCTGCGCATACAGCGTCTAATCGTTATAATCATAACGGTTCAAATGTGCCACAAGTAATGTTGAAATCAGTTTACAAAAACCGTCCTGTGTTCCTCATATTGCTCATTGTCCAGTTCAAACTACTCACACACACACGCTATGACGAATTAGAACAGAGACTTGGCTGTCACCAAATGAAACATTTGAGTAATGTGCAAAAAGGTCGAAATGAAGGATTAGAAGACCACTTGAGTGGATTAGTGGATACTTTTTCGTTTATCGTTTATCACATCGCTTTGATGACGCTAGTAGTAATTTCCCTGGTTTATCCGGTACACATACCACCATCCTACTCCGTTTTTCCCCAGTCCATTCATCACCCGGATGGGGCTCGTTTGACCACCGCGCTTCTTCCGGATCTGATCATTGCCCTTGCTAAATACTACCAGTTTATTGGACCGAATGTGGATCTCGTCTGTGCGCACAATGCGGCTGTGGCGTTACGATTCGGTCAGTCTTTTGTAAGTCAGTGAATCACTCAGTCCATTGCTCAGTATCATATATATTATATGTTATTATTATATTTTTTACACACACGTCTGACGCCAGACTGTGCCAAACAAATCATGGTACAATAGTCTTTATGAAAAATAAAAGTGTTCCGTTATTTGCATGTGGGCTGAATACTGCCAGGCTGCCCAGGCCAGGGCAAGTGAATTTTCTTGGGGAATTCACAACCGGAGCCTTCGACTAGCCAAAGCCTGACTCGCAAGGCAGCGGGGCGGTGTGCGAAAACCGCAGTCTATTGAGGGCCGGTGTCCAGTACATCGTATCATACGCCCTTGAAACGGGTTAAAACGTCCAAGGTGCCCAATACATCTCGATGCCTAATCGAACCGGTGACCACAACCGGGAAGGTGTGGGTGTGGTTCGTACGCCTCTTCATGATTGGTTTGGAATCAGTGTTTTTGGCCAACCCCCGTAGGTGAATTACTAGTGATCCACCAACCCGGATATCGGATATCAGTATCATTCCCATAGTGCATCTTATTTCCCCTCATTTCACTCTGTTTCCCTCCGATTTTGTAAGAATCCACTTACACAGATGAATGCCCATCTACTTATAAATCTGGGCCCCTAGAACAGTTGCTCGTTCTCATTTGGGCTCTTTCGAATAGTCACCGTCATCTCCTGAAATGGACAACGCACTGTGCAGCGTTTCACTGATTCCTCTAAAAGTATAAGCTCTTTTTTCTTCCGAACAAGGACTCGACAATGTGGGTTGATCTAACGATAGGATTGCCAATCTCATGTGATCTTATGTGGATCCGTTCATCATCAAATCATCGATCTGAACGAGCAAATACAAACACCCAGTAATTCACCCCAAGTAACATAACCGAGAACATTTTGCATAAATTGAAAATGATCTGTTTCCGTCGTCGTCGTCGTGTGACTCCGGTTACTGTTATGTACGGTCGATACTAGCACCTCTTGCCTAGACGCCATTAGTGATACGAGAGAGAGAAAGAATATCGCTGGAGAACAACACTCAGCGTGTGTATTGATCCGGACACGATACACAAGTCTAACTGGGCAAATCGGGCGTACGGGAACGGAGTGGTGACGCACCAATCAGATCGCGTTCTTTACCCTCCGATTGGTCAGTCGGACCCCAGATGTCTGATTCGTTCTAGTCATCCGATCCGATCGAAGACGACCCGTATCGGGCGTCACAGGTGCGCTTGTGGTTTGATGCCAATCCGTGCGCGGGTTCTTTGAGCTCCGTCCTAACCGGCTCACAACACCGGTCAATCCGTTATTTGGGCTTGCACATCCAGCTTTACCATCTGCAGACACCGCATGATCACTGCACTGCGAAATATACTGGTAAGATCTTCTCGGATCACTGCCAAGTTCACATTGTGCACAAAGTAAATGAGAATGTACAACTGCAGAGAAGACTGACCAGGGGATAGCTTGTTCATCCTGAAAAGGATACTGCAAACTTCTGGAGGTTGCAACTTCATGTAACACTTCAATTGGTTTTGGCGTTAACTTGATGCTTTACGCAGTAAAACTGTACGTGTCTCCAGGTAAATGCCTAACTCTCCTCTTTCTCTCCCGTGGTCATCCTACTACTTTATCGTACCATGTGCTGTTCCAATATGTGTATTCACTCACCTTTGCCGGGTTTCCCCCAGCTTGTGCAATTTTGGTCCATGCTCCGCGCGATCTACGGACACATGCCTACGGAATCAGATCGACGCAAGCTTAGCGCCCGGTCTGCTGGTCGCTGTTCGATTACCGGTGGAATTGGAGCCGGAGGAACCGGTTCGGCAGCATTCGTTGAACACGAACCCACTGGATCAGAGCAGAATGTCGTAGCGGCATCCGTGAACACCGGTACAGCAGGTGTCGTCACGGAATCCACCGTCACTCGCAATCCGGAGCCCATTCAATCACAAATCAATGGAAGCCAAGTCGGTCCAACTCCCGTGGCTGTATCAACCAAAATTCAAAAGGATTCGAATGGGACAACCACTCCGGGTGTATCTCTGACCAAATTGCAATCTCGTTCGGGTCTCTATTTGAGTGAAATCCTCGATGCCGTCGGTCTAACTCGTACTAATTCTCGACCAGTTGGACATGGACCTGAACTGTCTACATCGCCATTTGAAATCTTGCGTAAGTTGTTCTTCAGGATCGTGTCTGAATTTCATTCACATTCAGCCTGTTCATATAGACATTGTTTTCTCGTTGTACCCAACTTGCTTTGAGGAATATTGTCCGGAAATCTGTTTTTTTGTTTTGGATTCTGCGCTCGAAAACAGAATCGTCACAAACAAGGTGAAAAGTAGTATACCATGATTTCTCTCTAGGTTCCACAGCTGAGAAAACGGGCGGTTTGAATTATTGTTCTAAAAAGGTTTTGTTGCTTACGTCTCAGGCATTCCGATCCAGGTTTAAGATGATCAGAGTGGTCATTGCTTGCGAGGACGGGAGTGGAAGCATGATAATGTCCATGAGAGAAAGAGAGGAGGCAATGATCCAAGTTCCTCCGTTCAAATGACCCCGGGGGGATTTACAATACAACCGTTGATTTTGCTTCTCTTTTTCATTGTAGAGAAAAACACAATCGAGATGTTACCCAACAAGCCAGACGCGTTCACTCCGATCACAATCCCTTCACAACAAGTCACATTTGATCCGGCTCTCACCGATCACTCGACCCATACCCGTGTGCTGAATTCCGCCACTTTGTGGAACAACTTACCCGCGCCACAAACCAGTGTGTCTATGCCTCGTTGCACGCGAACGCATGACGATCTTATTTTGCACGAAGAGGTTGTATCGCCACCCGGGACCCCAGCAAATCCGCCTCATGCGATATCGCATACGATCGCGATCCGGCGCAAACGTGGAGACTCACTCGGTGACATGTCGAAACCCAGTCCGCATTCCCCACAGCCACTCGTATCCACACTGGGTGTGTCTGTTTCTTCAGCACAGACGTGTGACAGTCTTGGCGAACCGGTGGATTTTCTACTGCATTACTCCTCGGCACAAGTCGGAACGGGAACTGTGGGTTCCGGTCCTGGTCCTGGGACAGCATTGTCTGAAGTCCCATCTACAGCAACTTCGGAAACTGATGGGATGGAGAAGCCTGTACATTTGGTTAATTTGAAAAGGCAAGTCGACAAACCCTTTAAATTGCTTTTGTTTGCCCTGATAGCTATTGTCCACCTACGTTTCCACCGTTCATCGCGTTTGAACTATGACACGAAAGGAACCCCCAGTGATAAAAGTAAACCGTGAAAAAAATTCGTTCTCCTTTGTCTCCCCTTCCGATCGAAAACTAACGTTTTTGCCTCTTCATATCGAAAACGTACATTCCGCGCACGGATGGATAAACTATGGAATTCCCTACTGCTTCTTTTCATCGCTCAGAATCATCATCATCAACATCGTACAGCGAAATACAGTGAAGCGAACTTCACTGACCGCTGCCAAACTCGCAATGTATACAAGGTTAGTGGTAAAATTTAAGGTGGACAGGGATTGGCCCTATTTTAAGGGAGGGAGAAGAAGGTGAATCACTGTGGTCAACACAAAGTACGCAATTGAACTATGCATACATACCGTTTCAGGCATTCCGACCTGATAAGAAACGACAACGATAAGAAACGCCACTGCTGCCGGTTCGCTGTCATATCCTTCAGTGTTTCCAACCAACCAGTTGTGGAGTCTTTCGGACCCCAACCTGGAAGGTGAGAGACACCTACTCTACCTAATGGCTCTGTGCATTTCATCA